GAGACCCGTGTGAGCCAGCAGCCAGCAGCACACGCCGGGCCCGAGAGAAAACTGAGAAGGAACAGAGACTCAGGAAACCAAAGAAGAGTCACGTTGGAGAGAGAGGGGAAGGGGAAGGCAGGCCAGACGGGCGCTGACGGCTCCGGACCATCACAGGCTGCCCTGAGGCGGCTGGTCTCCACAGAGCCGGACCAGCGAACCATCCACCCTGCATTGAAAGGATGGCAAGGCGAGGCGGGAGGGAAGCTATCTGGAGCCTGGACAGGGCCTGCGGGGGCTCCGTGGGGCTTCTGGGGTCCGTCCCTCCCTGTCCTGACTCCTGGGGTGCACAGGCCACTCAGTGCCCACTGTGGAGGCAGTGAGCAGATGGCTCCTGGCGGTGTCCCCAGGTGGATAATGCATACTTCTGTGTCATGATGCACACACACAGACCGTTCAGAAAGGCTGTGACATCAGATCCTGCCCCAACACATGCTGGTGCTGGCTGGACACGTGCAGTTCTCCGATGCAGCTCGGTGTCTTCAGACGGGTCCACACTGGCTGCTGGCAGGGCCTCCCTGAAGCCCCCTTGAAGGTGCCATATGTCAGTTCTTCTGGGAGACGTGGTAACCCCAAGGGCAGCCACGTGGCCTCCGGGCTCCTTACTTTAAAGACAGACTCCGTGCTCGGGTCAGAGTCTCCCAAGTAGGAGACCAGCGAATGCCTGTCCTGTTCAGCGTCGAGGAATTTGGGAACTGCTGGCAGCAGCAGCCCTCGTCCACTCCAACGCAGCCACTCTTGCCCTTGGAACCTCAGAGGGCAAAGGGGAGGGGGCATCACACAGGTGGGGGTAGGCCAGAGTCTGGCCATGCTGGGTTTTGGGAGCAGGTCTGGTCGTTTGGGTTTTTTAGGGCTGGATTAAATGTTGGGTTTCGAGGGAGGGGTCCAGCTGTGCTGGGCTTTGTGGCTGGGACTTGTCTGTGATGGGCTTGGGGGCTGGAGTCTGCCGTGCTGGGCTTTGGGGCTGCGATCTGTCTGTGTTGGATTTGGGGCCAGGGTCTGTGGTGGAGTGACGCTGATCTGGGTCTGGGCCTCAGCCTTGCGAGGCACTGGCACCTCCTGCTTCCACATCCTGGTAGCTCTGAGGAGACCTCACTGGGAGGTTGCAAGGAGAGGGCAATCCTGGCCCCCAGCCGACCTACCAGGTCACAACGGCTACACAGATGACCGCAGGCATGACCCGCAAAAGAACATCTGCTGAGTCTAGCCGGTCGGCAGAGAGTGCAGTGGCCATTGCTTTGACCCCTGAGCTCTGGTGTTGCTTTTACGCAGCAATAGAAGCCCCAACAGGTTTCTTCCATATTTTAAAAAAATTGCAACGGAGCCGACAGGTGACTTACAAAGAGGAGCTCTGTTCAACTTCAGCACTGAGAACCAGCTGGCGTTCGGCACATCCAAGTCTCAGAAACCTGCTCCTTATATTTTGTCCTGGGACAATCTCCAAAAAGAAAGCACGTCCGTGTTCCCCATGGGTGTCCTCTGTTTTTTCATTCATACTGGGCACAAGAGCACTCCTCGGCTGTCTCTCACGGGTTCCTCAACTCACAGGTCTGGAGAGAGACACAGCGATCTTTAGCAGGAGGAGAGGGGCAGGGCGGTGTCGGTGTCTCACTGCCTGCAGCTGACCCTCTGCCCCATAAGGTGTGGCCACTGCCAACTCGGCTTCCTGCAAGAACATTCTACATGGACCTTCATCATTGGAAAATGTCATCTAACACGAAAGCCGTGAACCTTTGACCGGAGTCCTTGAAAGAAAGGCTTCTTTCAACCCTTGGGCTTCTTGCAGGATGCAGTGACGACCTGAGCAGAACAACGGCTCTCTTCCAGAAGCTCCGGCACACGTGCAGCCAGACCCTGCTGCTGTGACGCCCACATGACACTTGCCCCTCCTCCTGCCTCTGCTGGAGCATCCCAGAGGGAAGGCCAGCATCTCTGGGTCACGAGGGTGACTGGCTCCCATCTGCTGATGAGAGACCCAGGAGGAGTTAAGTACGCACTGGAGTCGGCTCTCACCAGGCAGACAAGCGCAGGCATGACCGGCCCCAGGGATTCCCTGTGTCTGAGTCACTGCAGAGAAACGAACACCCTTCCCCGGGAGGCCACACGCCCAACTCCCACCAGCCTTCGTGCAGAAGCACAGGAGCTGCTGTCAAAACTTCTGCAAGCTCCAAGTCACCGGGCACCGTATGCCAGGGTAGCCCGCAGAACCTCGTGGGGACTTCCTGCATCTCCCAGGGAAGCGTGTGTTTGTGCCCACCCCTGACTGTGGTCCAGGCTGCCTGGCCCAAAAGTATCTGCGGCATCTGTGACCTTCCGTCCTCTTGGGACAGAAGGAGAGCGGGAGGAACAAGCCGTGCTTCCCGGTGGTACGAGTTTTAATCGTCCAGTTTAGTAACTTCCACAAGAATCTTCTCCTGGCTCATAGCCGGCCTCAGTTCTATCTGTAAGGACCAGTTTAAGAAACAAAACTTTATAACAGACCAGACTATCTTGTTGGAAAGTGAGAGAGCCACTGTGTTTTTAACAAATTGAGTTTAGTGGTTTCTCAAAAAAAACAACTACAAAAACTCATCATCAAGATGAGGATGTGGGTGTTGAGTCATACCAACACGTCGCGATGCGTTAGGAGGTGTTGTAAGTGTGACTTTGAAAGTGAGAGAGCCACTGTGTTTTTAACAAATTGAGTTTAGTGGTTTCTCAAAAAAAACAAAAACAAATTGAGTTTAGTGGTTTCTCAAAAAAAAACTCATCATCAAGATGAGGATGTGGGTGTTGAGTCATACCAACACGTCGCGATGCGTTAGGAGGTGTTGTAAGTGTGACTTCTGCCTAAGAAGCGAATGTAAAGGAAGAAAATCATGTAGATATTAGTTCCCTAACTGTTAAAACACACTATGTGCATGTATACGTGTGTGTGAATTTGCAAATAATCTTATTTAAATATAAAAAATGAAATTACAAACACTGTCTAGATACACAACTGCAGCATTCACGTTTCCTCGCTCACAGACACAATATATATTCATGTGGCATCTATTCAGTCATCGCTTGCCTGCTGTATACCAGACGTTGCTGGTGCTGGAGACAGTGGGCTACAGAGGTGGCCCTCCAGCTCGAGAGGCAGGGGATCAGCACAGACAGACCGGCACTGAGCCCACACTGTGTGTCGGGAAACTTCCACAGGGCATTGATGCCAAGCGAGCTTTAAGGTGAAGAAAAGGCCCTCGGAGAAGAGGGAAAGAGCTTCCAGGGAGGGGGCGGCTGGAAGGAAAGAGCTCAGACATGCGTGGCCCAGCACACCTCCACTGACTGCAATCTGGAGTGGCTTGTGCAGAAGGCGCTTTCTGGCCTCTCCCAGCAGAGAGAACCGTCAGCAGTCAAGAAAGCAACTCGAGATTCTGCTTTGTGAAGTGCCCAGCGGGAGCAGTGAGCTGGCCAGTTGTCCCAAGCGCCTCACCACGCTACGAGCAGAGCACCGGGTCTGACTTCCTCCTCCAGCACACAGACGTGCACCTGAAACTCTGAAGGTCAAATTCTCTCAAAATTGACCTCCTCCAGAGAAGGCATACTACGAGTCCTCTCCTTACCCCCGCACTTGGTTGGGTTTTCTCCATAATTTAAAACATATTTTCCAATTATGCGCATGATTATATAGGCAAGCCAAGTTAAATGTGAATGACGGTTAAGCCCATTCTGATTGAAGTACTTAAGTTTCCTGCAAACTGTACGAAATCAAGATCCCATTATGAAGGCTGAATGCCTCGGTGGTTTCCAGTGATTAGAGGGAGTACTGGACTGGCCGCCTTGAGAGAATTCCACTTGGTGAAAGGGAAAATGAAGACAAGGCCTCCACGCCAGCCCTCTGCAGGTGTCCCCTGGCCTGGCCCACCTCCTTTGGGAAGCTGCATCCCATGTTGCTCCTGGGGAGGGACAGGCACTGCATCAGGCCTTTTTGATAAGCTGGGGCCTGGCCCGGCATCAGGAACTGATCCAAAAACCAAACTTCAAACAGCCTCTGCAGAGAGTAAGGTCCACACGCCCTCTGCTGTGACTCACACTAGGGCGAGGGGTCTCTGTGTCCTTGCCAGTCCCTGCAAGTCCCTGCGCGACTGTCTTCATCTCAGCTCAGCAGCAGCTCGACAGCCCCTGCTGAGCACACAGCCTCTACCCCAGCCAGCAAGGTCCCCACCACCTAGGATGACCAGGAGCCGCGAGTCTGGTTCATGAGCCAGAGCTCAGGGGACTATGCTCATCTTCAGCAGGACAGTGGCCTCTAAAATCAGTGTTCCATAGGACAGCCCAGCCCCTCCCCTCCAAAATACAATGGATATCAGAGGCCAAGCAGATATTTCCAGGCTGGGCCAGCACGAGGTGGAAGCAGTTCTGGCACCTCCTGCAGCCTGCGGCACAGAAGCCACATGCACACACACACACACCCTGCGGTGGCTTTGAAGGTCACCAATGGTAGAGGACAGCTGCTCTCTACTGCAACGTGCACGCAGTGGGCACCCACAGCACGAGGACTGAAAAACACTGTTGAGGGAGAGGTGGCTTCAGGCGAGCTGGCTCCCACGTGCTAGAACTGACCCCTCACCCCGACTGCAGCCTCTGGAAGGGCGAGTCTGGAGAGGCTCCCTGGAGGCACCGAGGAAAGAGGACGAGCAGGTCAGAGCCCTGGGGTCCATCCTAGGCAGAGGACCCCAGCAAAGCCTTTCAAGCACTTTCCTGTGGGTGTCCTCACCTGTATGGTCCCTTTAACATCAAGAGTGACATTTGCAAGGACACGGCCTAGCTCCCTCTGGAAACAAGTGTCCACCTCTGGCTCTCAGCAGGACGACGGTTGCTCACACACACTGCTGGCCCAGACGTGGGACTCGCACAGGCCTCCTGCACACGTCTGCGCCCCACCCACCAGCATCCAAGACAGACAACTCTCGGATGGTCTGTTTTAGAGAACATACCTGGAGCTTTCTCCACAAAAATGACCTTGGAGTCCTGCAGAAAGTTATGACCAGACAGGACCATCTTCTTACCGCCGATGACCGGGTAGCTGTCCGTGCTCTGCTTCTCCACGAGGGGTAGCTCCTGGGCCGACCTCTGGGCTGCATCACACAAGGAGAGGGAACAGTGAGAGGAGCCCGGTCCTGCCTGCCCTGAGCTGCCCAAGCCACGGCCCAGGCAGGTCACGCATGAGCCCAGTGCCTCCAAATGTCCCTCAGGTGACCAGAGCTGCAGCTGCACACCTCCCCCAATGGCCACAACACCACTCTCAAGAAATCAGCAAATATTCTGGACCAGATTCAGCCAATCTTACCCCAAAAGTTACAGCAACTGTGCAGATATGAAAAGGTGAATCACACAGCTAACATGCCCGCAAGGGAGCGTGTACCCACCGAGTGCGGGAACGCAGGGCTGGATGCCTGCCTGTGAACACACACATTTGCACACGCATGTGCATGTGGCTCTCCACATGTTCTCCCAGTCTCAGTGGACGGACCTTGGAAAGCCAACCGGTGTATAGTGTTGGATAGAGACCCCTTGAGAGCCCCCCAGGGCAGCACAGCCTGACACCAACTCCCCCAAATCATGGAAACTGACCAGTTCCTGACATCCATGACACTCTTGGGGCCAAATCACTTGGGGGACAGAGGCTTCTCTGCTCTAACTAGCAACAGCCCATCCAGACACCTCTGTGCTGAGGGGGATGCTGTCTCTGGGAGCTGGAGGCAACAAGGGCCCCAGCCCCCGGCTCCAGAGAGGGGGGCCCAGGCATCAGGGGAGGGCAGGGGCTAAACTGAGGTCTCTGGTGGGGGCTGGCGCCCGCTGAGGAGGAGTTGGGGAGGAGTCATGTGGGGAGTCCCCATCTCTCAGGAGGGCAAAAGGCCTGGCACAGGAGAGGTGGGTGCAAGTTTGGGATTTGGCTTAGGAGGACTGTGAGAGGAGGGGCGGCAAGTGCCACTGCCATGAGTGAGGCTGACCGGCCGGTAGGGGACATGTGGGGAGACCACACCTCAGGGAGTCTGAGACCCCCTGAGCAGATGCCACGGCCAGGTGTGAGCTCAGGTCTCAGCCCCACATCCACACTGGGCCCACGAGACCCAGCATCCCTGCACAGGTAGGGTGTATCCCGGCCGGGCCCCTGTCAAGAAGGCTCCGACCACGCCCTGCTAGCACCTCCACCGTAAATTAAAGATGCCAAAACCAGGGTTACCAGAGAAGACAAATAGTCATATGGAGGTTCACAAAATTTAGGCTTGCTCAACCCAATGGACTCAATTCCAAAATTCCATTTTCCCAGGCTTCCTGAAGTGTGAGGGGATTAACTCAAATGTGACCTATACAAATATTTCCGTGTTTCAGGACGAGCTTTCTTTCCTTTTTACTTTCTGTTGCAGGTGCCTGAGCCAGGAATGTTCAGAAGCTTCGGGCAGGTCCTGCAGCTCCTGGGCCGTCTGCAGCCAGGACAGAGAGCAGCCTGGTGCCCCAGAGTCACATCAAGACAGACACATCTGATGGGAACGTTCGGTTCACAAGCCACCCACATAAAAAGTGAACAGGAGGTCTCACTAAAGCTGGAGGGCGTGAGCGTCCACTTACAACATTCGATGGGGTTCGAGGAGACTTGGAGGGACAGTGTCCGGCCGTTGGGCTGGGGGACGTGGACTCGGAAAACCAGCCTCACCCTGGTGTTCTTCCGCCCGATGTCCGTCTCCCCCTTGCGTAGCTCAATGTCAGAGTTTCTGAGTTTTAGGATTCCGGCACAGTCAATGCTGCCCAAGACAAAAGGCCACAGCTTTTCTTTTAATCGCTGACGCACAGACGTGAAGCTCCAGCCTTCCCTGCCCCCTCCGTCCTCCCCAGGCCTGGCAGGCTCATCCCCCGAGCTGGCCCACCGCCCCCAAGAAAATACCACATTCAACGTGAACGACTTTGAGGCATCTTCCAAGAGCAGGACAGAGTCCTGACGTCCACATGTGCCCGGGAAGCAGGGACTGAAGCGACCGTGTGCACGAGCGATCACCCGCCCTCTACCCCCGAGCGCAGGCGGACCTGGCCACACCGCCCCGGTCGCTGTACGCCCCAGGCCCCTGCCTGGCTGCGAGGACAGCACCAGCACAGAGAGAGCAGCCCAGGCCCGAGGGGGGCAGAGGGGCCTGTGCCCCCGTCTCCTGTGCCCTGTAGGAGTTTCCTAAGAGCTCAACTTATTTAAAGATGCTGTCAGTGTTTCCATTACGCAGTTTAAAATCCCTCATTTTCTTATGAAACCCGTTCTTCTCGGGTTTCACATAACTTCATTTAACTTAATCATTTCATTCAAAACTCAACTGCAGTAAAAACCGCATCTGTAAATTCCTGATGCAATAAAAACCGGCATTTTTCCTTATTCAGTCAGCTAAGGGAGTCAAGGGCGCTGTCCGGCTGAGGAAGACCTGCCACACACAGGTCTGCCGTGGGACCAGCATCCCAGCCCACGCTGGGTGGCAGGGCCCGCTTCTGGAGTGGAGCTCTGGGCGTGTTCTGGGGATGACTGCGGCTGTCCTCGTGCTGTGGTGGCGTGAACGCACGGCCTCAGAAGCTGCAAAGTCTACTGCTGCCATGGGAACATGGAGGTTCTCAACCCACCCGATCATATGCCTGCCCTTGGGAAACTCAGATTGTAGCTCTTGAAGCAAACCCAAGGATTTAGAATGAATTCAGAGGCATGTAAATTCCCCCAAATTCATGAAAAGCCTACTTGGAAAGAAAGCTTTCCCTTTGTTTTTGACTTAGAGGGTTTAAAAGTTATAAATAACTTATTAAAATCCCACACAAAGTCCTATGTGATAAGGCCCCTGCCTGCCTCATCTCCTGCGCTCTCTCCCTTGCCATGCTGGCCTCTCACTAGCCAGTGAGTGCCCCAAACTTGCTGCTGCCCCAGGACCTTTGCATATGCTGCCTGAGGGCTCCACAGGAAGGTTCATGACCCCTCCATGAGCCAGCCCCCCTGCACATCAGCTGTCAGACCTAGAACAGCCCCCAAGTGCTCTAACACATCATCCTGCTAATTATCTGCACGTCCTTTGCTTATTATCCTTATACGTGTGTTCATTAACTGTCTCTCCTGAATGGCCCCTAGTACAAGGTAAACCCCATGGAAACAACCTGTTCTCTTTCTCTGCTGCATCCACAGTTCAGAGCCAATGCTCAGAGCACACAGCAGTCACACAATGTGCACGATTAAACAAATGCAGGCCTACTGGACATCACCTGATCTGTCTTCACCTTGTTAACAAACTCAGTTTTAAGCTAATTATAGTGTCAGATTTAACTCTGCAAGTCAGAACTGGCCATACCAGCAAGGTTGGTAACACTTTATGTGAAAGTGCTGTCCAGGTATGTTGCCCTGTGCAATTTTTCAGTGTTTGCATTAACCCCTCCTCTGATTTGCACACTGCTGTATTCAGAAACAAACGGTGTCATATGTATGAACTGAATGCAGGCACTGGGGAAGGTATTTACAGCTGTGTAGTTGAGATATTTACATTATGTGGCAATATACGCAGTGGCTGAAACCCTAGAAAGAAACAAATCGTTGCCATAAATATTTGTCAAGTTTATTTAGGTGTTAAACCACGTGCACTCTGGGCCAGGTGGGAGCCCCAGCCCGAGTGGTCAGAATGCAGAGAACAAAGCGGGCCCCTCCCATAGGCGGGGGTCCCCACGCCCGGCGGCTTACATGGCTCGCATGTTGTTTTCCGGCAGAAGTGGGATTTCCAGGACTTTGGTGTTGGAGAGGATGGCTTCGTGGCTGGTGGTGGAGACGGTTTTCCCCGTGATCCGGTGGACCTGGTAGAAGGCGTGAGGCCGCAGCAGGCGGTCATCCGCTGTCCCGATGAACAGCTGTAGCGTGAGTGGCTCGCTTTCTAAGTAACCGTGCAGCTGGCAAGAGAACAAAAAACTCCCACTAAGCACCATGCACATAAACTGGGGGAATCAATTAAATTTTTATAAGCAGACACTCTAATTCAAAAAGAAAACCGGACAGGTGCTAAGTGCTGAGTCTCCTCCCACCCCCCACCCCTTTCTATTTCTCTATAATATAATATTGGTTTTTTAATCTTACTTAGAAAATGCCTCATTATCCTAAAGGTCCTGGGGCAATTTTCAAGGTGTGGACTTTGAACATTCATTCCTGTTGCTTACTTTCAAACACACACACACAATAAGCACATGTGTGCACACATGCACACCTTCACACATGCATGCAGACCAGTAATGCACACACGTGTACACCCCTGTGTGCAATGTGCGGCCTCCCCAGTCGGAAGGCTTGGGCTGGGCTAGGTGTGTGCAGGGACTCACTGCCCCTAATTAATACAGACACAGCCTCAGTGGGACAGAATCCATTTTCCCATATTCAATTAAATGGAAACTGAACAGGGAACAAAGTCTGATCCTCATCAGTCAGCACCGTGTTCACAAGCGCACCCACCAGAACAACGTGGGGCTGAGGGCGTGTCCCCTCCTGACTGGCTCTGCGCACCCCTCCTCCTCCAGAAGCAGGCTGTGGCTGAATGTGGTCCTGGTGGCCATGGTCACGTTGCCGACACCCAGACCACCATGGTTAGGTCGGCAGAGCGTCTGCTGGCCAGGGACAGACACCATGCAGGGGAACCACACACAGGCACAAAACTCACAGGACCCTAATATGACTCTGGCAAGCCAGACACAAGAGCAGCTTGCCAAGGATTCTGCCAGGATGGGCACCAATGGACCACTCCTGCATCTCAGAGACACCCACGGTACACATGTGTGTCCTGGACCCACCGCCCACAGGACAAGCAGCCAGAGCTGAGGAGGAAATGCAGAGCCTCCACCTGCCTTCTCTGCATCTCACCTGCGGTTCCTCCTTCAGCACAAGTCTTTTATTACTTATTTATTTATTAGCAGCTGGCCGCTACAGAGATCAGAACCTTAGTGTTAGCAACATCATGCTCTAACCGATGAGCAAACTGGCCACCCCAAGTCAAGCTATCTTAGAACGATCATTTACCTGTTTTTATCTTTAACACGACCATTGGCAACCACCAGAGCATGATTCTATTCTTAAGAAGCAAATTCTGGTAGAAACAGGAACCTAGTGAGGTTGCTGGGGTCCCAATCCCACCCACATGGGGGTCCATCAAAGGCAGCCTCTGTCCTGGAGGGCTCTGGGCCTGAGCATGAGGCGGGGCTGGGGGAGGCCTGGAGTGGGGCACAGTGAGTCCAGAATGCAGCACTCGGGGAGCCCCAGGTTAGGGGCCAGAGAGCATGGGACTTGAGTCTGGAGGGAGTTTGGTTTTAGAAACACAAAGCATGAGGCGGAAGTAAGTTGCCCACGAAAACATGAGCGGATCTTGGGGAAACCCTGGTGAAGAGAGCGATGCTCAAATGATCAAGCAGAAGAGACAAAACTCTTTCCAAGAAAACACGTGCACGATTCCCGAAAGAAAGAGAGCGAGTGAGATGATGCGGGGAGGAGGGGACTCAGAACAACCCCTGGCTCCTCAGCCTCTTAGCACCCGACTTTCGAGCATAATTCCAGCTTCCTGTGTTTGCAGAGGTTTTTAATGTTCATTTTAATATGCCAATTTGGAAAAAAAAAAGAAAACAATGAACTTCAGAAATGGGAAACAGAAAATCAGACGTTGCAATTAGCTGCTGCTGGGTTTGATGTGGCGCGGTGAGTATTGGTTTTTACAAGGCCAGGCCGGCCCCTCACAGGTTCCGCATGCGGACATCGGCGGCCACAGGCTCTGTCTGGTGCAAGCTGGCCGCTGACTTTCATTAACCCTCCTGGTCGGTTGGCCCTGGCCTGCAGCCAGAGTCACCCCCATCCTGAGATAAAAGGACCGGCTGGGAGGTCACTTCAAACAGGTACAGTCTGCATCCCTCCTTCAGTTATCAGCCCCACGGCCACAGTGGCAGGAAAAAACGTGCTCCCTACTGAGTCCGAGCTGGTTGGAGTGGAGACTACTAATCTGCTGCCTCAATAAGCCCAGGAAGGCCTGTCTCCAGGACTCGGGTGGGTGGGAGGTTTAAACAAAGCTTGAGTTTCCCAAGGGGCCTGGAGAGCCCGTGTTAAAAGTGAAAGCACATTGCTGCCCACGTGGGCGAGGGGCCCGCCTGTGCCTCCCCTGGAATGGCTGGGGAAGGGAGTGGTCCTCTCTCCGCTGCATGTGCGCAGAGTGTGGGGGAGGCAGCTACAGGCAGGGGCGTTGCTCTGCGGTCTGTCTGCAGCAGACTCTTCTGGGTCCCCGGCACCCAATTCCATCAAGCGCACAGGGAGATCTACTACGTACATTCACGTCTTCCTCCCAGCCCCACTGAGATTCTTCAGCACAAAGATCTAGAAAGTCTAAGTAGGATTAAAGAGCGAGGACGCGGCCTGGGTGAATCTGCTGACCCTGGGCGGCACACGCCTGCCGTTTCAAGTGTGGTTCAAACCAGCAGTAAACCATTTGCAAAGCCATGTGGATGAAAGACTCACTTACTGTCTTGATGGACTCCACTCAATTAAGAGACGAAGGCATTTATAAATTTCAGGTCCTGAGAAAAGAATTCCCATGAGGACCGATTGCTGCCTGGTGTTCCAGAGAGATCTGTGCACAGCAAGCTGAGCACTGGGGCTGGGACCACCTGGCCTGCCCCTGGAGAAGAGGACAGTCCTTGCGCTGGTGGCCACATGGCTTGGCCAGGCCGTTAGAAGAGCTCACAGCGGCTGCTCGCTCGCCAGCCTATCTCCGTGGCAGACACTCAACTGACACTCGATCAGAGTCCCAGCCACAGACGCACTGCAGTGCTGCCTGCTGTGAAGCGAGTCCCCAGCCCGCAGCCCAGGGACACCAGCACATCTCCGGACAAGCATTCTGCACTTCTCTGGTTCATATGTAAAAGACGTGTTTGTCTCAGGCTGCGGGGAGGCTGAAGGGGGCTCTGAACTCCACCTGCGGGATTTTACAGGGGCGAAGAAAGAGATCTGCACAGGGTGGGTCTGTGTGGCAGGTGGATGGAGAGATAGTCCCCGTTCCCAGTGGTTCACACATGCACATATGCATGCACACACTTGTACACACCCACTCATGCACACACATCCATGGACTTAATCATCTTCACACTGATTCTTTCATATTAAAAAAATTGAGATATCTTCCCTATGCCCAGGGGGCTGACACATGCAGACTGAGCAGGTGGTCTATAGGTTGTGCTGAGAAGGTGGCATGTGAAGGAGATGCTGGCATGGGATGTTTCTGCAGAGAAGTCAGAGCCGCTGTGGCCGGCTTGAATGGACTGGGAGGCGGCGTCGGCATCTCCCGGCCTCCTGCCGGCGTGCGTGTGTGCAGATACGCGCGTGTGCAGATACCGCATGTCTCTCAGCACAAAATGTCTAAGGCTGTTCCCACAGAAAATCTGCCACGAGCCACCTTCTGCAGGGACAAAATGCCTTTCCCTTTGAACAAAAAAGCTTTTTTCCTACACGAACGCATGAGTGTCCCTGTGCGAACGGTACGCAGTTAGGATGGGAAACTAGGAACCCCCTGTCCCACCCACTAGGCTGCTGGGGAGCATGAGTCCAGTCTTTTCCCAGTTTAATAAACATACTAAAAGCCTTTACTCTATGTTGGACTCTAACGAATATTTTTTTATAAGAAATGTAAAAAGAAAAGGAGGGTTTGATTACGAGGCAAATTTTGTGAAACTGAACACAAGAATATGTGAATGGGTCTTTGACCAAAACTGTCTCGTGGTGGGCAGGAGGCAGCCCCGTCCACAAGGCCTGCTGGGGACAGGCGATTTCAAAATGACATTTGATAATTCCCCCAGGACACCTACTGAGCCATTCTGTGATGGTGTGTGGAATGCAGTGAATTTGGAGTATAACTTTATTCTTTAAAAATCATGCCATTTCAGTGAAAATGGGAATATTTAAGGTTTAACCTGGGAGGTAAACATCTATTATTTAAAACATGAAGTTCATTTTAAGAAAAGTAATGTAAAATACTTCACATGTTCCACTGCATGGGTTTTCTGCCTCTGGCACATTATAATATCTGTCAAAATAATATTTATAAAATTACCTGTCATAACAATGACCTCTCTTTGCTTCAACCTAAACTAAACAAAATGCATTATTCCGTGTTCAAGAGCTACAGAGTTTCTACACATGGAAATGTTTGTTCTTAGCTCCTCTGCTTACCTCAGCACTTACAGGGCGAGTGACAGGTGGATGGAAGGATTGAGGCCAAGTGCATTCGGCACTGGAGTTCAACCAGCGCACATGCACACACGCACGCTCACACACATGTGTGCATGCGCACACGCGCTCACGCACGTGCACATGGTAGAAGGAGGTATGGAATAAACAAAGAACCAGTTAATTGATAGGAATTTTTTGCCTTTGAATCAATCATTTTGCATTGGTGTACACAGAAATTAAGCAGAGAAAATCTTCGTGCAAGAATCCTCCTCCAAGACACACTACAGAGATGTAGTGATCGATTCAAGGGGAAATTATGCATTTAAGACCCAGAAATAAAATTTTCATTTTTCACAATGCTCCCATGGAAGTATTCAGGGAGGGAAAAATCCAGTTCACAAACTCGTTCCACTAATTTTTTTGTAGTGATCGATTCAAGGGGAAATTATGCATTTAAGACCCAGAAATAAAATTTTCATTTTTTACAATGCTCCCATGGAAGTATTCAGGGAGGGAAAAATCCAGTTCACAAACTCGTTCCACTAATTTTTTCCACCTGATTTTTCCTCTGCTGGTTAATTTAAGAGAGTGTGTTGCATCAACATTGTCTCAGATTATGTTTTCAGTCCCCAAATCCTCACTCCCACCAAGCGCAGCAGGAGAGCGACTCTTCAGAGCAAAGGTCCGAGGGCCTCTATAAGAG